ACTAGAAAATACGTATCGTATTTTCTCTTTGTCTACTTTTTTAAGTGTGAGATTTTGGTCATACAAGTCTATTTTCACAAAAAATAAATCTTGACCGATTGTTTTTTTATCACAAGTGGTAAAATGCCTATGTAAATAAAGAAAATAACTAAAACTAATCCATAAAGAAATAACTTCACACAGTATTCATAATTAATTTGTGTGGAAAGTTTTTTTGATTTTGTTTAATACCGTATTTTATAGAGACATAGCAAATCTTCAGGTAGTTAGAAGAACTAAATTACACTTATATTTTCTTCAGTAGATATAGGTATATTTGATTTGATTTGATTTTAATTATTATACAACCTTATTAAATTAAGTATATACATAGACAGTACGGACTGTTTTTTAGTACTGTCAGGTAAATTTTTCTAAGCAGAAATTTTGTTCTCAAAAAAATGTAAATTTTTTAAATAAGAGATTTTTAATTTACTCGTTTCTTATTTCTTTAGTCGTTTCAAAACGGAATAATCAATCTCCTTTATCTTTTTTTAAATAAAAATATATTACAAATACAAATTTTGATGCTAAAAATTATTAATTTAACAGAAACAAATAATGTAATTAGATAATATTATTAGCAAGCCCTTGACTTTTGAATAGGTACCATTTCACGATTCTTTAAAATTTTCTGTCGAATATTAAAAGATGAATTGCACTGTCTGATATTTTTAAAGTTTATAATATCTGATACACGTAATTATTTCTCATATAATGTGTATTTTCTGCCGGTGAAAAGAACCAATTATAATAAATCTGCATTAAAAGGTTTATTATCAATATCACAAACAACATTTTCATTAGATTAAAAATTAAATATTAATCATGATAAATCATATGTTCATCTAAACTTAAATAAAAAAGTTGTACAATAGGTATGTACAAGTAAATTCTCAAATTATTGAGTAATTCTGTTAATAACAAAAGTCATATTTTTAAATTATTTTTTATTAGGTAAAGTTACAGTTTCCAGTGACAAGAACCACATGAATTCTGTGAAATGACGATAACATATGAAATAATCCGTTTATAAAAACGCCCGCATATACAACGTTCTTAGGCTAACAGCATTCTACATTCTGTAGCATTAAAGCCAGACGATTTCAACCTAAAACTAATGGCTCTTCTGCTATCTGAAATAATAATCATAAATCTCTATAGGAATCAACAAGGACAAACATCTTTACCATAAGTTTTGATGTTTTTTCCTAATGTTATTTTAAAAATGTTTCAATACAGTATGTCACATCGATACTAGCAGTGAATTACTATACATTCACACCTAATTACTACAGTTCCAATTCAGTAGATTTTTCATACAATACATAATATACAATACCTGTATGAGATTTCAGTTAAAGTTTTCCGTGCCCAAATAATCAAATTGTGTTTACAAAAGAAGAATATATTATTGCTATAAGGTATTATATTATTATTACTATTATGTTATTATTATTATGTGTGCTCTAGTTATAATTTGTAATATACACTGGGAGTGCAATTCTTTTTTCCATCTCATATTGCTTTGTGCTAAGTAATACTAATGTTTGTTTCTAAAGCTGACCCTAGATGATGCAGTCACATTCCAAATATTTGTCGAACGTAGAGAAATGCCGTACGTGTGCATGCTAGATATCGAAAGTAAGTCTTCATTTGTTAAATATTGGCTATGCATTAAGAGAATGTATGTGGCACCTGCTACGTTCATGACACTATGGTCCATTTCGTCAGCGTGGAATTTGTAATGACCATAGTCATAAAAAATGATAAGTGTACACAAACTGTTGACATATCGTGCAGAACAATTATAAATATGTACATTTGTATATCATGTGTATGATACTCCTGTCGCTTTAAATTTTTACCAAATAGTCTGCAAATATTTGACATATTGTGTTTGACGAATGTTTGGCAAGTTTATCGTATAGCAATGTAATTTTTGTACCTTCGATGGAATACATTTTTTTTAAATGGAATTGCGCGCACGTGGTATGGCGGTGAGAAACCCACTCGTGCGTGCGAAACGTAAGAGCAGAATAATTTATGGAACTACCTATACCTATAGTAATTATTTGTTCTTTGAGATGCATATGTAATGTCATATATAATTATCTATGAATCTGAAAGTGTGATGTGGTATATTTTCGAATATCAAATTATTAGATATTAAACTAAACCAAAACACCTCTTGTTGAGGTATTATTTTATGCAATAAGTATTAGAGCTACAATTATTACAACTACCACAATACATGTTATTGTACAGATATTACAAAATTATAACACCATAAAATATGTAATTAGTCTTAATTATGTTATTTATTTCAATGAGTTTTATTATTCTAATTTAAAGTAATGAGATCTGGCAATAAAAGCAGAAGGCACTTCTTCCTTTCGCCAGTGGCTTGCATACGTGTGTAAAGAATGAATTAAATTTAAAAAATTGTAGTAAAGGGAAGAATTTGGTTGCGTAAAATGTTAATATATTTTAATTTCTAAAAATAAAGTTATTCACTTTACAAACAAAAATATTGCACTGACAAATGGCCTTATAGACATGTTTTCAAATTCTGGTAGCTCTTTAGGTATCTAGACTTAAAAATAATAAAAGCAAATCCAAAAATCTAGCATTTTTAAACTTCCAAACTTATGGGATTATTTTTACCGAGAAGTTATTAGATAGTTTATCATTAAATTAGTCAGTTTTGTTACTCTTTAACCAACTTTTTATCTGCAATGATTTCCAAAACTGCAGAAAGAAGAATTAATTTATACTCTTGAACAAAAAAAAGCCTGCATTTAGGTAAATAGATGTTTTCTTGATGATTTTATTTGTCCAGATATCGGCGAATATTTTAAAATACAATAATTTCACTTGTATGTTTTCGAGTAAATATAAAGCCCACAATCTAGTTTGAGGGGCGTATCGTAGATGAATTTTCAAAGCAATATTTTAAATAAGAATGTGATATAGACGCTCTCATAGTTTAATTAGTATTAATTAATTGTACTACGAGAAAAAAAATAAATATTCGATTGACTGTATGCTCTCAGATTATTACACGCAGAAAACATAGCTGTTCCTAAATGGAAACAGCTACAATTATACTTACGCAGAATGTCGTTACACAATTTTATAAAATATACAAACAACTATTAATAACTGCACAATGCAAATGTAGAATTTTCTTCCAGCTTGTGCCTGTCCTCATTTTAGGACTGATTATATACCTAAATTTTCATACTAATGTTTTTTTTTGTAGATAGGCGCCGGTTTGCTTTAATGGTTGTACGTCATACGTACAACTAGGTACGTAGGTACATTCTGGTTTACATTTATAAAATTATAATGTAGAATGAGAACTACCAAATAAAAAATTACAGTTGTTTAATTTATAATTTGCTTTGAGCGATGCCGATAGATCCACTAGATATGTAATAGACTCGAGGGCATACTGTGGTAGGTTGATTGTGGGTGACAATTATATGGATTTTTAAACTTTAATTGAATTTTATAAGTCAGAAATTTGGAATCAGAAGATGGCTATTGGTTTTTATTATTTATTTCATAATAAATGATATAACTGTACTATTCTTGGAAAAAATGTGATATGTTTAGATGTGTAAAGGAGCTATTTTAATACAAAAACAGTGGCTCATTTAAATGTAAATAATATGGCAGTTCAGCTCAACTTACTTCTGAACAGAATATAGATGACGAATTAAGGTTGTGAGTAGCTTGAATTTCAATTTAAATATATTTATATAAAGACGGGACATGACTCTTGTACATCCATATTCACATGCAAGTGGATATAACGTAAGACCAAGACATTTGATATCATATCTCAATTAGGATGTGGAATGTAGTTATGTTACATATTGAGCGTGAATATGTAGACCATGTTGAAATATGAAGATATGGAAAGTGTAATGCCAATTATTATAATAACGACTAATACTTTGAGGGGTTAGTTATTTTGGTATGATGACTAATTTAAGGGAAAAGTCTTAAAGAAAAATACAAAATTGGTAAGTATAGTTTAATACTATACTTAAAAAAAGGATTATACCGATTTTATAAACGCCAATGAGCAAGTATAAGTTAGGATTTCGAAAACATCTGGAAATAATAACTGGGCAATAGAAAGGGTATGTGACGCGGTGACTTAAACACTTAAGAATTTTCAAATTTGGCGTACCTACTTCGTCAACTTTTTTTTACTTGATATATTTTGAATCATCTAATATATATTTGTTGAATGTTATTCATCCTTTTATGATTTGTTAGTTTAATTTATAAAAATAAATAATTTCTGTATAACAGAAAACTAATAAATATTATTTTCGTAGTTTCAATATAGGTATATTAGTTTGTGAGTTACATTATTAGTTTGTGTTGTGATTGATATGGAATTTTCTAAATAATCATAAATAATATATGTACTTATAAGAAAATTGATTCAAAAAGTATCTAAAGCTGTTATCGCTGTGCAATTAAAAATGCAATGTCATGGATTCTTAGAGATTTTTGAAGCGCACGCATTGCTCTTAATAATCATCACCAGGAGATAAAATGGAAACCTAATCGATGCCGAGATCAAACTTAAGGGCGAAGATTCTTTACTTTAAAATAGAGAGAATTTAAAAAAGAAGGTTATAATGTAGGCGTATAAGTATACGCTTATTTCTTTCCAATGATTCCAAAATACTTTAATAAAATCAAAGGCTCAAAAATTTAGTGTGGAGTTGATGACTTTATAGGGTACTTAATTAGGTTTATGAGTTTTTTATGACCCAATTTATGATGTCACGTTTATTAGAATTGTTACTGCTGGCAGTATAATCCTTTAGCCACGGCTGGTCTTTTTACGAATCGGTGGATTGCGTTTAACGGCCAAGTAACATATGGTGTCGACCGAACCTTAAAAAAATCTATAAATAAAAAGTGAGTCATACCTGAGTGGCCGTGCGTGTTCAGGTGAGAAGGATTTGTCTGAAGTCACTGGTAAAAGTTGCACTTTTTAACAATCGCGCATCTTGTTGACAGAGGACGATGGCGAGCCTTGTGACAGCAAGCTGAGGTTGAGACACCGTCGGGATAGATGATGGGAGGGGATTCAGCGTTGAACGGACCCCTGATGCTCGATCGATCGCGTCTCACGCCCTGTTTTCCCGCGCACTACTGGATGTTGCGCGTTCCTACACGCTTCCAACGTTTAAGGAACGTTATGTGCCAGTCCTTGGAGTTCTGTAATCTGAAGGCTCCTTAGAGAATCCTTTATTCCCCCTTCCCGATCTAGCGTCGCCTTTGCTTCCTTGCTTCCTCATTTTCGTTGCGATGGCAGGCGCCTGCTAAAATTTTATGACCTTCGTGTTAAGTCTCATATTAAAGAATACCGTCGAATGGACAAAAACGTATTCAAATTAAAAACGACAAATATAGTTTAGAGCCTAATGCGCTATTTCCTCATTTAGTATTCATTATTAACATCAATTAAGAGTATTATACAACTAGATTATATTACTTGTAGAGTTATATCTACATTAAAAACAAGTTTCATATTTTATATCTATAAAGTAATATTAAGTGTCTAAGTAAAGAATAAATATTAGAATCCATTATTTTTTAACCGGGGTTAAATAGTAGGTGAATTTATAAAAATATTAAGTGATTTTAATGCTATACTTCTCATTGTTACTGGTAAAAATAATAAAAATAAAGGTCGGTAGAAGCGAACACAAAATAAATAAGGATTTTCTTATTTGTATTTTTAAATTACTAGTAGGTATATTAACTTCTTTATAAAGATATGTACCTAATGTTGCCTCACTTGACTCCGTTCAGTCCGCTCCATTTTACAACAAAACGATATTTGGTTGAAGTTTCTTTTTATTGTAAAATGGAACGGACTATATTTAAGTACATAGTACACTTTACACAGAACTTTAATTTTGATGCTTTACTTATCCCTTAGATACATTCAACTAACTTTAGACACGAACATTGAATACAATTTTTTTTTCAGCTAAAAAATTTAATTTTTTTTCAGAGAAAAAAAAAGGGTAGTTTTGAAAAAAAAACTATATTTAAGTGATTACAGATTGCACAAAAGTTAATTAGTCTCAAAAATTTAAATATAAGTTGATGAGCATAGGACAAAAAAGCCGAATCGTGCTGGAAACAATTGGATTTTGTTTTCTTTAATGTCTGGAAGGTTTTTCAAAAAAACCAAAAAAAAAAGTTTTCAATTTTTTTGTTTCATCAATTTAAACGTTATTTGCGGTAAAAATGTGAGAAACCTTCAAAACATTTTTTTTTTCCATTTTAATCATAGCTCCTAACAAATTTCGACCGAATTATCTAAAAACTATAATCTTAGAGCTTCAAAATGCTTTTTTAATTCCCGATACCACCATTTTTCACCTAAATACAGTCTGTCAAAAATCACGGAAAAATTTCGGAAATTCTTTTGACCCTTTAATTTTTTGCATTAGTGTATACAATTATACACCAATGCTAATTTAGGAGCAGGTTTTATGGAACGATCTTCAAAGCTTTCGTCATATTCGTCATACCACTTCTGGCACTTTTTACCTAAGCAAATTGTTTTCTTTTATGTTCTGCAGCAGAGAAAGATTATTGAGGGTTGTATTCGGCAAACTGCATTGTTGTGGTGCAAAATATAAGATTTATAGTAAAAAAATCATTATAACAATTTTTCCTGTATTTTCAAATTTCCATTTAAACTGGAAGGGCAAAACTCCAATTTTTTTTTCTAATTCATAAGTAGATCACAACGGTTAGCTCTCACAACATTGTCAGTGTCGGAACTTTCATTTTATTTTTCCTCCTGATTATCCACCTCTGCTGTCGAAGATAAAGAATTATTGAAAAGCAGACGTTAGGTAGACGTAGGTAGTTGTATTTATAGTAAATGAATACTTTAGAGATTACTACAGTAGAATCTAGTAATAAATAAATAATTATTAATTAGTTTCTTGGCGGGCGTCGTACATTTATTTAAAATTGATAGCCTTATGGTGTTATTTAATAGTATTTTCTCCTATAAATAAAATTTACTCTTACAATTGTTGATATGACGAAAAATATTTTTTTTAGGTTAGAAAAACTAATTTTGTTTTGTCTTCATAATATGGGGTGAGGTGTCAACTGTCAAAAATATGTAAAATTCTGTAGCTAAATACTCTGGTCTCTGTAATATATGTACCTACTAGGACTAGGCCAAGTCAAACTACTCTAGATTTCACTGTGAAACCAACAGAACTAAGAAATAATATGAAGTAAGTATATGTTTTAAATAAAACATGTATTTTAATATTAGTTTTCGCAATTTTTACTCTATTTTAAAGGTTTCAAATGGAGTCAAATAATATTCTTCTACAGTGTAGGAAAGTACCGATGGTCTATCAAAAGTTACGTGAGAGCGATAAAGTAAGCCATAGAAATCCATGCGATAGAGAAGGATGGCTATAATGAAGGCCTCTCATAGTCACCGCCCGTTTCGCCCTTCCACAAATAAGATCCACTTCTTATTTGTGGAAGGGCGAAATGGGCGTTGACTATTAGACGCCTTCATTATAGCCATCCTTGTCTATCACATGGATTTCTATGGCTTACTTTATCGCTCTCACGTAACTTCTGATAGATCATCGGTACTTTTCTACACTGTATACCAGAAACCTAGGTATGCAAAACATATCTAGGTAACCCCTCAGTCAAAATTCCTGTTGATATTAGATACTAGAAACAACAACTATTGACACCGTCTTTTAAAAATGTAATTTTTTTCTAAATGTTCAATGTTTATATATAATTTTAGTATAACAGTTTTAATTCCATATAAGGACAGATTGATCTGTTATAACACCAATTTTCATATTACATTTATTGTGTAATCGTACGTTGTAAATTGACCTTCCATACAAATACTTGCATTCAATAGCTTAAAAAATAATTTCATACAGTTACAACATTAATATTATGCATATTTTTTATTTAAATAGAATAGAGAACTTAGAGAGAGAGAATAGAATAACACTTCAAATCAATACTTCTATTAGATTCAAAATCGGTTAATAAATTCCTAAAAACGCTTCTTTTAAAATATTTAATAGGTGTAACTTAAGAATACTTATACAGGGTGATTCACAAATGGCGACCAAAAATGAAACCTCGTATTCTTTGGTAAATTTTAAGGGCAGTCTTTCCTATAAAATTTTTATTTACGACGCGTCGTTAAATTTAACCTTGATTTTCAAGTAAAACTTAAAAAACGAATTGAGAACACACTTCGATATTCGAATGTAATACTTTTTAAAATTACGTAGTATGCTGCGATAGCAACTTTGACATTCTGAGCAGTTAGAGAAAGAATAAATAATGCTTTTCATCAGATTCAAGCAACGATAAATTTCGAACAAATTTTCGTTACTAAAAAGATGTCGGACCTGTGTTTGTAGAAATGGAGATATATTTGATCATTTACTCAAATAAAATCATTAAAATGATGACTAATGTTATTAATTTCTTTATTCAAATAAATAACCGAATGATTACTGCTTGTCATGTCATTTAAGTAGAAGTGTTTTCACTTGATTTTTTAAGTTTTACGCGAAAATAAGGCTTTTTCGAAAAAGATAATAGTGTAGTAATTTGTAGAAAATTGAATGACGAATTTGAAAATATCATGGTTGTTATCGGCGTAAAGCAGTATCGTACTATTTTATTTAGAAAAATATGCCACCCTGTATCTCCGCCACTGGAACATGTAAATCTTAGGAAAAACCCTCAAATTTTGGGCAATGTTTACACAAATACGTCTCGATTTCAAATTATTGCGCTTACTAGTTTTTAAATTATTTAAAAAAATTAAAAATATTACCCTGTATCTTTTTAACACAGCGTCCTAGATAATTTACCAAAAAATACGAGGTTTAATTTTTGGTAACCATCTGTGAATCACCCACGCCCTATTATTTGCATTATTTGCCTATTTCTAACTAATTTAAATTTTGCATATCAAAAATTTATTTTTGACGAGATTTTTTTTAGTATCTATACTAAAGACTTATTTAGTTTTAATGTTATCGCTTTTAAATTCACTGCTCAAAACAGAAAATTTTTGCGTTATAATTTAGATTTTCGTATAATAATATAAACAGCTCATTTTTGCATTAAAAGTTTATTTAAGAAAGAAAAACATCTCTGGCCACAAAGCTGCTGTTATATGCTATAATGTGGAATATATTTAGTTTTTTATTAATTTTTATGACCTAATACCCCCAATGAGTTTATCCTTAATAGTAATGAGTCATTGTCTTAGCGTGGATTCATATTAATCGCTGTTGTGGTCTGCATTAAAAGCACTGGTATCTTACACTTAATGTCATAATAATATTAACGCTGAGGTAAAATGGACATGTGCGTTATATTATATATTGTAACAGTTAATTTTCCATTTTCTTTGTACGTTTGTTGTAGTTGCGTGTGATATGGGTAAAAAATTAAAGTAAAATGCTTTATCTATATTTTCTACCGCTAACGTTTAGATTGATTTTTGTCAAACATTCATTTTAATATGATTGATTGGTAATTAAAAAAGCTTTGTTAACGCAAGTTTTCTATATTTGGATACAAACTTGCTCTGATGATAGAATTATATTTAAGATATCAATGATTTGTTTCCTAGATCCATTCGGGATACCTGTTCCATCTGGACCATATGGAATAAGATCCACTTCTTATTTGTAGATGGGCGAAATGGGCGGTGACTATTATACCCCTTCATTATAGCCATCTTTCTCTATCGCACGGATTTCTGTGACTTACTTTATCGCTCTCACGTAACGGCCGATGAACCATGGGGACGTTCCGACCCTGTATATTTCACTGCATAAAACATTACAATGTTAATCTACAATAGATAAACTTAGGTATATATAACAATAGTAAAAGTAATAATCTTTACTTTAAGGTTCTTATTGCTAGTATAAAACGAATTTCTTTTTATTCTCCTTTCGATGTTTTTATTTTGAAGAACCTATCATCCTGACGGATCACTTCTAAGAATGCATGGATGTTTTATACAGCAATATACCCATTTCAGTAAGATGAGAGAAACCTTTCTAGGAATACTTTATAGCTGATCCCACCTTGGACACAATATATTCAGGATCATTTCTTTAAAGCAATAAATATTTTATTAACCGCAGTAAAATTTAATATTGTCTTTAAGATTTTTTTTTGTTTCCGGCAAGTCAGCGCTATTCCGAACATAAGAATTGTTTTATCTAACATTCTGAAAC